ATCCTTGTGGATTCCTGGACTTTCCCTAGTGCCAGGTTTCTCGTTAACTCCTTGACCCTGCCACCACTGGGAGAGAAGCCTCAGAGACTTGGGGGCACCCTTTCTACACCCCAAACCACCCAGCACTGCATGTGCTACCATTGGAGTCTTGGCTTCACCCCCTAAGCCACAGGCCCCACCTACACCAATTGGAAGAAAAGAGACCCCCTGAATCACAGGCCCCACCTGCACCCACTGGAGGAAAAGATGGTAGAAGATAGTACAAGAGCATATTCAACAACATAAAGAGTAATGTGACACCACCAGAGACTATGGGTTCCACACCAGCAAGACCTGAACATCCCAGCTTTTTTTTTTTTTAACATTTTAACATAGATATATTGTTATTTTGCCTGTAAAAGTTAATAAAATGTTTCATACATAAATTTAAATATTCTTATATGTTAGTTTTCTTCTGCAACATATCTAATATGTAAATTTCCTTGTCTCCTATTTTAGACCCTTTCAGGTTTTTCTCTACTTAATTTGCTTTCATTCTCTTAAATTTTTTTTATATAACTAAGGAGCAGTGAATGAATTTGTAAGTGTTAGCAAAAAACTTTTTTATTTTAGTAGGACCCTTATACTTCATTTCTGATGGGGTTTTCCTTTTTTTTTCTCTTCCTGTTTCTTTCACCAGTTTAATCATCTCCCTTGTTTTTCAATGTAGCATTGGTAGTTTGGGGGAGATTTTTTGGTTGTTATTGTCTTTTGAGTAATTTTTTTCATTTTACTCTTAATGGGTGTTTTGCTTGCTTGTTCTGCCTGTGTATCACATGTTTGTAGTACCATCAGAGGCCAGAAGAGGACATTGAATGCTCTGGAACTGGAGTCACAGACAGCTGTCAGCAGCTGTGTGGGTGCTGGGAACCAAATCCAGACCCTCTGGAAGAGCAGCCAGTGCTCTTAATCACTGAGCCATCCGTCCAGCCCCCAACCCTTAATTTGGGGTGCCTAATTCAAGCTCTCTTTTGAATACTTTTATGCTAACCATAACTCAGCATGGAATATCATGTTAAGAATTTTTTTCTGCTTTGTAATTGATTGGGGGAATATTTTGTTGTTTTTTTACTGCATTACTTAGTATTTTCTATTGATTGTTTTATAAATGAATATTATATACCTTTTCATTTTTGTGGACAGAATTGCAGTTTAAGGTGATTTATAAATTCATAGCTCAAACACCCTGCTTTGAGGGCCAGTAATAGAAAGGTTGTATGTGTTTCAATGTTTTAATTTTTCTTTATATATCAAGAGCTTAAAGTTGGTTTTTTTGTTTGTTTGTTTGTTTTTGTTTTTGGGTTTTTTTTTTTTTTTTTTTTTTGTCTTCTTTTGTCCTTTGCTGTACCTCAAGGCTGCTTGCCTTTGACTCTCTTTGAAGAGGTGTTGCTTTGCAGTTAAGTCCCTCAAATGTACAATAACTCTGTTCTACCAAGCCATCGTTCCTGGTGTGGGCAGTCACGGAGGTCTTCCTCTTTCTGTCCCCAGCACAGCCCGTCCGCCCTCTGGAAAGGATTAGAGTGACAGCTTGAGAAACAGGCCTGTAGAAATTGTTACTTAGGTTCTCTGACCGCCAGTGATTTGACACTTGCGTTGTCCTTTGTCTTTAGTAATATCTTGAAATTTTCACAACTTTATTGTCATTGTGTGTTCATATGGTTTGTAGGAGATGACTGGCAGATGTCAGTGTACAAATTCTTAACACCTCATCCATTCAGAAATACCTTCTATTTCTTTATTGCCAATATCTTCCTCTAGAAAACATGGTGTATTAAATGCTGAGTATTTATTCCCAGTGCCTAATAAAAGATGTCTAACAACTAATTGTTAAATAACTTCTCCAAAATACATACATTTCTTTTACCCATTTTTTTCTGTGTAGAAATGAGTTGTTGATGCTTCTCTTATTGATTTAAATGTCCTGTTATGTGGAAAGTCTAATAAGACATTAATAAATGTTAATTACAGACTTAATATCTTAAAGTATAAGGTGTGAAGCGGGTGTCCATAAAAGAATTTTTGTCTGTCTTTTTTTAAAGATTGAATGGTGCAGGATTTAAATGTAGAGAAAATCAAACATACTTTATCGTGGTGGTTATAGTTATCTAATTTTAAAAATATATTATAATTTTTATAATATGTAATATATATAATTATAATATTCTAATATATAGCACATATATCATATGACCTTTGCCCAGTAGAATTTTGTAATTTGGGTTTTGGCCTTTAAAGCCCTCTGAAAGGAATTTGAGAATCTGACTAATAGAGTGATTCCTTCCTTTCTTCTTTCATCTACACTTTGAGATTGGTGCCCCTTGTGTGCCTTAAAAGACTAGGAAATCAATAGACAAAAATGATGGTAGAAGACAAGCTTGGAGAAACAAACTCAGGCCAGAAAGGGGGTTGACGAGTGTGTGCTGAGGCTGGGGAAAGGTTCTGGCTGTGACTTCAGTCACACCTAGTTGGCTCCTGTTTTCTAGGTTGTTATTCTTATCCTGCAAAATGTAGTCTCCCCATATAAAAATATATCAGCGCCATCTGCATTGTGCCAGTGCTATTGGTTATTTAACTAGTAAAATTCCCATAGAGACACATCTTGGAGTTGGACATTCATTCTGGAGAGTATAAGGCTCTTTTAACAACTGAGGGAATAGTGTTCTGTGTGGTTCCATTTAAAATGTTTGGGCATCTCGTTGGTTGGCAAGGAGTACAAGGGAGTCTTTCATTTCCAAGGAAGACTGCAGAGGGCAAACTGGGCTACGGCTGTGAAGTGGGCATGCTGGTGAGTGACACTTGGTCTATTTCTGTAGCTGGAAACACTCTGTCCCTGAGCTTGTTGCTGAAGTGCAGGAGAGCACTCTGTGTAGTCACGAGTGGAATTTTTACATTTGATCACAGGATCTGTTCCTCCCTAAAAGTTCACAGCCTCCCTGGATTTAGCTTCCAGATTTGTAAACACTTAATTTCTGATTCTTTTACTAGTTATCTTCACCCTGCAGATTATTCAAAGAATGATTAAAAACACATGTGGCTAACACCAGCTAGCAAACACTTTGGGATTAGATCGGGTCTTTACACTCTTCATCTAAAAATTATACATGTTCTGTTTTTTTCTTAATTCTCCCACACATTGCAGCTTATCTGGGGAATATTATAATGTTGCTCAAGCCTTGTTCAGAATTACCACTATCAAATCACGTGATTGTGTTCAGAATTATCAACTTTTACTTTCTTTAATGTTTTCAAGTCAGTTTGCCCAGTTCTTTTTCTTAGGACTTCAATGTTTTTATTATAGTTATGTATTTATTATGTACATTTATTATTATTTATGTACTTTTTTTTTTTTTTGTGTGTGTGTGTGTGTGTGTGTCATAGTAAATGTGTGGATATCAGAGGACAACTTTTGGGACTCTGTCCTCTCCTACCATCTGTGTCCCAGGGACTGAACTCAAGTTGTGAGTCATCTTTGTTGTTGTGACAGGGTCTCACTATGTGACTCTGGCTGTCCTGAAACTCACTCTGTAGACCAGGCTGGCTGAGAATTCATAGAGATCCACCTTCCTCTGCCTCCCTCGTACTGGGATTAAAGGTGTGCACCACTACACCAGCTTAAGTTGTGAATTTTGGAAGTGCTTTTACCTGTTGAGCTATCTTTTTAGCCCTGATAACTTATATTTTTGAGAAAATTGTATGAAAAATTAATATGGAGAAAAATACTCATGATTCAAACATCAAAATTCTTTCCTTTAAAAAAAAACAAATAGATCTTTGTTTTTATGTATATGTCATTTTTCCTCCTTCCTGGATTTTCAGCCTAGAATTGTCAGCTTTATACTTCCGATACATGTCTTGTCTGCATGTATGTCTATGCACTGCATGTATGCAGTGCCTTTGGAGGCCAGAAGAGGGCCTTGGATCTCATGGAACTAGAGTTACTGATGGATGTGAGAGGATATGTGGGTGCTGGGAATTGAAGCCAGTGCTCTTAACCACTGAGCCATCGTTCCATCTATAAATTGGATTTTTAAAACTAAAGTTAAATCATTACTCATATAATTTTGGTTTTATGGATTTGCTTCAAATTTGATATTTGATTCAAATATCAAAATTTTTAAACATTTTTGTATTATGACAAAATTTTGCTTTTTTTTTTTTTAAATATTCTTTTCTCCTTCCTGGATTTTCAGCCTGGAGTTGTCAGTTTTATACTTATGATTCATGTAGTTACTGTATCTTTTTTGTTTGTTTGTTTGTTTGTTTTTTATTTTTTTTTTTTGTTTTTGTTTTTCGAGACAGGGTTTCCCTGTGGCTTTGGAGGCTGTCCTGTTCCTAGCTCTTGTAGCCCAGGCTAGTCTCGACCTCACAGTGCCCCGCCTGCCTCTGCCTCCCGAGTGCTGGGATTAAAGGTGTGTGCCACCAATGCCCGGCTGCTGTATCTTATTTATAGCCTTTAGAGTTGAGCCATTGTGTATCCTTACACAAACATCCCTTTGATCCTGAATGCAGGATCAGTGTCTGTGTCAGGCAGTCTTACAATCTCATTTCAGGTTGTCGCTTTTCTTTGAACTCTTACTTTAGAGTTACCTGTTAGGAGAAAGCACTTTCTCTTGCCTCTGCCTACTCTCACCCGATTTCTCAGTTACAAATGCGCAGCAATAAAAGTGAGATGTAAATACTGCTCAGGTGGGTGTTCTGCCTGTCCTGAGAAGTGCCTGAAGCCTCACCTTGAGTGAAGCCCTGAGTAGCAGCCCTGTGTTGCTGAGAGGACAGATGTATTCACAGTCAAGCCCTGGCTCTCTGAGATGGCTGAATCCAGATCTCCTTAAAGTGTATGTATGAACCTGAGCATCAGAGGCTCAGCCTGCAAGTCAGACTTAGAAGACACTAGGGACAGCGGGAAGTTGTATTGATCTAAACACTGAACTGACGTGTATTTGTGTTAACTTTTGTTTCTGAAGGAAGTTGAAATTCGAAATAAAGACCTGGAGGGGCAGCTGTCTGACCTAGAGCAGCGCCTGGAGAAGAGCCAGAGTGAGCAGGAAGCCTTCCGAAGTAACCTGAAGACGCTCTTAGAAATCCTGGATGGGAAAATATTTGAACTAACAGAATTGCGAGATAATTTAGCCAAACTACTAGAATGCAGCTAAGGAGAGTGAAATTTCAGTGCCAATTGATGAAAATATACTGTCTGTCTTCGTAGGACTGTTTGGGTTCTGCACCAAGATTGCACAAAATTTTTTGAATATTTTTCCTCCAGGAGGAGGGTGTTTTGAAAATTGGAATTGTATATTTCATTATAAATTTTAGAATTTAGCTTGTAGCTAGTTGGGGAGAAAAAGACATGAAAAACTTGAACTACAAATTACCTCCATGTATATTGGCCATAGTTAACTAGAAAGTTATAAGTAAACACTTAATGCAATCAACCCCCCCATTAGCCAATGGAAAAATTAACAATATCTGGGTCCTTTCTCCTTTTTTTGTTCAACACAGTGAAGATTATCTGCTTTTTAAATTAATTTATTTATGATATCTACAGCTGTGTTTGTGCAAAAACTTAGTAATGAGAGCCCTGTCTTTTGTTGTTATCTGAATAATTTCTCAGGATATTTTTGCACTGCTGAGAAGCAGGGCCATTACCAATTAATTCTTGCCAGGTGTGGGAGAGAGCTACGTCTTTAACTGAAAAGCCCTATAAATGGGTGTCTGCAATTCCTCCTCTTTGTACTTGGAGTCTTTCACTCAAATGGCTCCTCCGGTACATTCTGCTGTTCTCCAATCTTGTCTGCTGTATAGTTTACTTTTCCATATTGATTCGTGTATTTATGAAAAGATACTGTCTCCCACTTTATTACACATTTTAAAGCCAATTAAACAAAGGCAGCTGAGTCCCTCAGATATTTTTCTTTTTAAATTTATAGTAAATTTGACACACACAACTGAAATACAGCAGTCTGTCCTTAGTGGTTTAGGCTAGCAATGTTAAGTATATTTACAGAAAATATGCAGTTACAGTTATTTATATATTTGGCAAGAAATCTTTTCTGAGTGATCAATGAATTCAATTTATGAAAAAATAGTGGTTATGGGGGCACTGTTTATTATACATAATTTTAAGGTGTATAGCTGATTTCAAGGAGGTCCACTTCCACCTAGCAGCCAATCAGAGGACTGTATCTAAATTGTGATCGTGGCAGATGGGTCTTCACTGAAACCATGTCTTTATTCAAACTTCACAAGGCAATATTTTGAACTGTTAACTAGGCATTTCCAGACAGGAAATACCTTCAACAGGCTCTTCGCCGGAGAGCAGGTTTTAGTGTTGTTTTGATGTAATTTTAAGACATTTAGCAAACATGCATTTCTTTATATGATACATTTCTTTCACAAAGCTATTTTAAAAGCAAGCCAAGTGCTGTCTGCTCTGCCTGAGTAGGAATCGCATCGGAATACGTATATTCTTGCTGTACAATGCCTGTGATGTTGAAGAGGGTTCTTTTTAGTGTATGCTTGAGTACCTAACTCTGGAGTCAATGAATGCACTGATTTTTTTGTTTGTACCCCAAATGATTGAATTGTTAAGTACAAAGTAAGCAGATTAACCCATTTTTTTCACTCATAAACAGATTCTTAGTAATGATTTTGTTTTATATTTATGTGTATGTATGTAAATACATACATATATATCAATTTATATTAGAGTGAAAAATAAATGGTTTGTTTCTAAAGTTAGTTTCAACAGTGAGGTGTCTCTGAAAAATCTGTATCAGACACTTAATCATTATGTATTATATGTCCTATAACATCATGCCAATCACCCCATCTATTTTAGGGTATTTTTCTTACCTGTTTATTATAGAGAGAATAATTTAGGTACACATGCTCAGAGCTGAGATATTTCTCTGATAAATCAGGTAATAAAATTTATGCGATGGATAGAATTTTGAAAACAGATATGATTTTATCTGAGTCTCTGAGTATCAAAGAATATCAGGTTTTAATTTAAATAGAGGACTAACACTAGGGATCAGGGAATTTAGTTACAAAGAGTTTTAAAAAAATCTTTAAAAAAAAAACAGTGTAAGCTGTTGATATGGTAAGCGAATTATTTTAATGATGTAATAAAATATTTTTAAATTTTGGGATAGTGATCATTTAATGGGAAAATAACTCACCAAAATGTCTCCACTTGAATTGTACTGATAATGTGAGGCATATGTGTAATTCAATATATACATATACCTATATGTATATACAGAAATTATTTTTAATATTTTCCTACTGTTGTGAAATTTAAAATTGGAAATTTTGTGAGTGTTTTCCATGTCCAATAGAGCCTAATTGTTTCTTTTTTTAGTAATTTAACAATTTCTTGAGGGCTGCACCTGTAACTTCCCAGCTTGTCAGTAGACATGTACAGTACTTGGGAGAAGGTGGACACAAGTGCACATATAAATAAAACCTTCTTATGACTATTTCAAACATTCACTTACACTAGAGGAGCATTTAGAACTCATCGCCTCTAAGTCATAGGTTGTGTGCCTACTGTAGCTTTTTCCATCGCTGTATTATATAAACATTTGCATATTAAATTTGATTTTTCCCAGAGATAAATATATAATGTATCTATATTTAGATCAAACTGTGGTAACATATTGATCAGAACCTAATGTTGGGGACTATAGCCTGAACATGTGGACTTGCAGCGACACAGGAGGAGAGCAGAGGTCATCCCATTTGTGTATACATTATTATAACTATGAAATCTTGTACAAAAGCAAAAACTGGAAAAAAAAAGCAAAAATACAGTTTTTATTTTGAAATACATTTGTTCTCTGGAGAATGTACTTCCTCTTTTTTTTCTCAATCTTTTAAGGGTATTTAAAGCATTTAAGCAATGGCAGCATTTCCTTCAATCCTACAGGTGCTACTGGATTTTGCATTAGTATGTGATGTTTTAAAATCCTAACTTTGACATAAAAGGTTTTATAAGTATTTCCCTGCCTGGAATATTAGTTTTTATTCTCCTCTCCTCATTCCCTCCTCTCGCTCTGCCTCTCCAGACTAAAAACGAACATTCATGAAAATGCATTCTCCTTGTCCCTAAAGGAAGTTTGCAGCACCATCAAAACTCTGATGCGCTGTCTCCTTTGAACTGTTGGGAGCAGTTAGAGAAGAACTTGTCCCTTATCTTTTCAGGTGACACTGAAATGGTAAGCCATCACATGACCTTCAAAAAGCCATGTCTTTGCTCTGTTAAAATTAAATGTATCCTTTAGCAGGTATGTCTCTGCCGTCTATGTTTCTGTCTGCCTCTGAAGTGTGCGCTTGGGTGGCTGCCTCCTGACCTGGAATGTCTCCGGGACTGCAACAGGAGGCAGGACATGGGGAAAACTTGGGGGTTATTGTTTTGAGCCTTTCATTTGTTTGATACCAAATAATTGTAACATTTGAAATTTTGTGCTTAAAGATATAAAATAGACTATATTGAAACTTCTAGCATAATCTTTTAGCATTCATGCGGTAAAGTAACATCATTTCTTTTCCTTTCATGGTGCTTGGGGTCAAACCCAGAACCTAGCACATCCTAGGCAAGTACTCTGCCACTGAGCTCCTTCCAGCCCCATATAAAATTGTAAAGAAGAAAATTCCAGGTAAGAAGTAGTTGAGTTTGACACATTTAAAAAAAAATCTTTAATAGTAAGTAGTACACTGTATGGTTAATAATAATAAGTATTCCTTCTAAACCCTTAAGTAAGCCTATCCCACCTCTAGGTTACGTTTAAAATAACGATTTTATGTATTCCTTGTCAATTCTGTACAATATATTTTGATCGTATTTATTCAGCTCCCCAACTCCTCCCAGCTCTTCTTCTCCCTGTCCACCCTACTTCATGTTCTTTGTCTTGAATGAAAGAGAAAAGATTGGGGGAGATGAAAGAAGAGAGGGAAAAGGAGAAGCCACTGAAAACATGGAATCTGATTTGTGTTGGCCACTTACCCCTGGACTGGGGCTGGTGTCCTCAGTGTCACTGCAGTGAAGACTTGTCCCTCTCCCAGCAGCTGCCAGGTGCAGATAGTTTCTGGGTTGGGATGGGGCTTTGTGTTCACTTCCCCTTCTCAGTGCTGGGGTTTGTCTCCCTGAGCTTGTGCAGGTCTCACTGTACTGTCACAGTCTGTGAGTTCATATGGTCATCAGCCCTGTTGTGTCTAGGAAATGTCTTCTCCTTTAAATCACCCACCACCCCTGTATAATCTTTCTGCCCTGCTTTCCTCATGGATGCTGAGCCCTGAGGGGAGAGGTATGATAGACACCCTAACCAGGGCTGAGATAGTATTAATGAAAGCAAGAACCCAAGATTAGCTAGGTCATGGGCCCAGGGGAAAACCTACTCCTATTATTCTGCTAAATGAACGTGGCAGTAAAGTGACTTCTAATGATATATTACTGTACCCGTAGACAGTGCATTGCTCACCTTCATTGGAGAAGCTTCTCCTTGCAGTAGATGGTGATTAACACAGAGACCCACAGCCCGACAACATACAGAGAGACACTCAGAAGAAGGCACCTTTCAAGGTAGCCATGAGTGCTGTTAGAGACAGAAGGCATGCTTTAGCACATGCATGAAGTCCTTAGCAAAACAAACAAGAAATGTAAAAATAAAGAAAAAAAAATTCCTTTAGGTCACTGTTACTAAAGATATGTGAGCCATGAAGAAAATTGCATCTGGACTAGAATAAAAGGCCACAAACACCCAAAGACTTCCTGTGGATTTCCTCATTTGTTGGGCACTTTCCACCCTTTAGAGGCTGCACTGCAAGCCTAGCATAGCCATCCATGCTCTTAGTTCCAGCTGTCCAGAGGGCTGAGGCTGGAGAATAATTTAAGGCCAGGAGTTGGGAACCACTTAGAGCAATACAGACCCTATCTCTTTAAATAAATAAATAAATAAATAAAAATAAATGGGGAATGGAGAATTGTCATCATTATGAAAGCAGACCCAGCGACTAGAAACATCAGGACCATTCTTTATCTGAAGCATATCGGGAAGGCCAGACCCCAAACCCTCCCCCAACCTTACTTTCTGTTTTGATACTGCTTTTATTTATTATGTATTTATTTGCTAGGGTTTTGTTGTTGTTCATTTTTTTGGTTTTTTTGTTTGTTTGGTTGGTTTTGTTTTTTGAGACAGGGTCTCTCTGGATAGCCCTGACTAGCCTGGCACTTGCTGCATGACCAATCAGGCTGCCCCAGAACTCAACAAAGCCATGCCTGCCTCTGCCTCCTGAGTGCTAAGATTAAAGGTATGTGCTACCACACTTACCTGCTGCTGCTTTTAACCAAGTGGGGGTTGCCCTGAGGAATTTCAGAGACCCCAAGGACATCCTGTCACTTGTTAGGATTTGTAGCCTGCTCCAAGACATTAGCTCCCACACTCACCATTCTTTGGGATTCTGACCTACTTTTGTCAGATATTTTCATGTCAGCTACACCCAGGAATAGAAATATTACTCTGCTTCCTCATAGTAGCATTAAATGAAGATACTGGGTGTCTTAATAAATGCAACTCCAAGGCTGCTCTGTAATGTGGGAAAGTCTTTGGAATATTTTTCTGTCAGCATGTTTGCTCATGTGTGTTGTGACTGCTTTGCTGAGTGCTCATTTAGTAAGTACCTCCATCTATGTGGCTTCTAAATGAGACATGTTTGTTCTCCCTGTCTTTTCGTGGAATGACATCTCAGAAGGCATGGCTAGAGATATGTGGCACTTCCTCTACAGTTTACCAATGAAATAAATGGACATCTGCCTTGTGAGGGTCACTGTGTCTATTGCTTGGCATTTGGGGAAGAGGGCAAAGAAGAAGAGTTCAGATGATGGGACCTGTTGTATTCACAGATATAGGTCAGATATGTTAGAACTCAGTTTTTGTCTTCCTTCTTTCCTTCCTTCCTTCCTTCCTTCCTTCCTTCCTTCCTTCCTTCCTTTTATTTTTTGTTATTGGTGGTGTTTTGAAAAGTCTTATGTAGGCCAAGATAGTCTCAAACTTGATATTCAAGGACAGTCTGCCTCCACCTCCCAAGTTCTAGGGTTCTAGGCATGTGCTATGCTATCAGTTTCTGTGTGGTACTGGGTATTGAACCCAGGGCTTCATACATGCTCCATGCTGGAGAAACATTCTGTTAACTGAGTTATAGTTCTGGCATCTGTTAAGATGCTTCATAGCTACGTATCTCATGTTTTCTCTTCAGCCTTCCCTGATGCTTACAACCCTTACTGCCATTGTAAGTTACACATCACACTTTTGTAGGTGTCTTTTTCATGGACCATGTTTCAGCCCCAACTCAAAGAAAACAAAATAAAAAGCTTACAGATTTCCAATGATTTAATGAAAGTAATTGTTCATATGCAGAATTTAAGTCCATTTAATTTGAATACTATCTCAGTTTGAAAGCACATATTGGTAGTTCCAGCACTTGGGAGGCCAGCCTAGGTAGGATACATAGCAAAACCTGTCATGAAAAAAAATAGTAGAAACTAGGCTCAATGGGTCATGCCTTTAACACCAGTACTCCAGATGCAGAGACAGGTGGATCTCTATGAGTTAGAGGCCAGCCTGATCTACTTAGAGAGAGCCTGTCTCAAAAAACAAAACAAACAAAATACTAGGGGCTCACCAGTTAAGAGCATTTGTTCCTGCAGAGAACCCAGGTTCAATTCCCAGTACCTACATAGCTGCTCACAACCATGTATCACTCAGTTTCAGGGACTCCTCAACAGTCTCTTCTGACTGCCTCAGACACCAGACATACACATAGACAGACATACACATAGTACACAGATACTGCACACACACCAGACATGCACATAGTGCACAGACAGTGCATGAAAAACATTTAAAGACATGAAATAAATAAATCTAAACACACGCGCGCGCGCGTGCGCGCGCGCACGCGCACACACACACACACAAAACAAAGCCAGCCTGGACTATAGAGCTAGATCCAGAACAGCCAGGGCAAACCAATCATCAAGAAAGCCTTAGGAAGACAAGTCCGCTCCTGGAAACTCATCCTTGGCATTAAGGGAGCGCATGGAATAAGCTTTGCTGTTCATTCTGAATGAGTAGGCAGTGTTGGCTCCGTAGAAACAAAGGCTTCTCCTGATTGATCTAACCATTAAACCGTGAGTGCAAGTTAAATCTTGAAGAAGGCTGAAAGCACAGTCAGGAAATGATTATTAAACTACCTGCATTGTGCTGGTTATAGAGGCTGTAAGGGCCTCCTAGTCAGCTTTTTTGGCTTTTTCTCTTATGCCAAATTTGATTTAAACAAAAATAACATAAGCATAAAATTCCCATTTGAGTCCCCTTCCCCTGCCCCCCTAACAGGGTTTCTCTGTGTAGCCCTGGCTGTCCTGGAACTCACTCGGTAGACCAGGCTGGCCTTGAACTCACAGAGATCCACCTGCCTCTGCCTCCCAAGTTCTGGGATTACAGGTGTGCCCCACCACCACCTAGCAAACGTGAATGAGACGATTCAGAAGGAAGACAGAGAGCTCTGAGTTGACATGAGTTGGTGGGTGAGTGGCTGCTGTAGGGCATGTCATATTGTCTGATACATACCTCTTTTTTTTTTTTTTTGAGACAAAGTTTCTCTATATAGTCCTGACCATCCTGGAACTAACTCTATAGACCAGGTTGGCCTTGAACTCATAAGAGATTCACCTACTTCTTCCTCCCCAGTGCTAGGATTTAAGCTACTATGCCCAGTTCATTTAAGCCACTTCTAAGTACAGTTCTGTGACTTTAAATAGTTTGATGGTGTTATCACCACCACTGTCTGTTTACCTTTCTGTCATCGCTGGTGATGTGCCTTATACCTCTGTGCATTTGCCTATTCTAGGTCCTTGTATGCATACAGTGTTTGTCTTTTGGGGTCTGGCTCATTTCACTTAGCATGATGTTCTCAAGGTCCATTCATGTTGTGGCATGTCTCAGAATTCCACTGCTTCTTGAGGCTGATAAGATTCTATTGTGAGCATAGTAGCTATACTTTTCTTGTCTTGTCATTTGTTGATGGATGTTGGATTGTTCCTATCATTGTGAATAATGCTGCTATGAACATATGTGTTCCCGAGTCTCTATGTTACATGTTGGGGGACTGTGTACCTAGGATATAAATAGGAATTTCATATGGCAATTCTAGGTATAACTTTGTGAGGAACAAGCAAAAGATTAGGTTTGAATTGGGTAAATGCAAAAAAGCCTGTAGGATAAGGTG